CCAGGTCGAGGCTGCGGTGGCCGGGAGCGGCCACTGCACTCCAGTCTGGGCGACAGAGTGAGACTCCAACTCAAAAAAAAAAAAAAAAAAAAAAAAAAAAAAAAAAAAAGAAAGAAAGAAAGAAAAGAAAAGCTGGGGCCAGGTGGGACACTTTCTTCTGGTGGGGGAGAAGTGACCCTGAAGTAGCTGGGCATGTTTTTTATAATCAAGCACAAAGGAAGTTGGGAGGGATTCAAGGTCTATGAGGGAGCTATAAGGGAATTTTGTTGCTACCTAAAGGCGAGCAGTTCCGCGGTTATCTTGTAGCTAAGGCTTTGTCTGTACTCCTTACGCCCAGATGTGTGGGCTCTGAGACACCGCTCCGAGTAGCAGGCTGCATCCCTTGCTCTTTGGCTAGGATGCAGAGCAACCAAGCCGGGCCTTGCCTTTGCTTGGGACCTGGCCTTTGCTTGGGGCCTTGCCTTTGCTCAAGGCGTGCTGTCCTGACAGTGCTCATTTATTTCCCACATCTCATCTGCTCTCCACAACTGAGCTTCATGTCAGTAAATGCAACTGACATTTTAAAGTAACTTTTAAACTTTATTTCCCTATAACATGTGATACCATCCACCACACTTCTTACTCTAAAATTCCTTGCTTTCTAACTTTGGCTCTTTATGACATGTACTGAGTTTTTCCTTTTTGTTATTTTTCAAACTCTCTTTTACCTATTACTCATTTTTCATTTTATCCTTGTCAGAGCTTATTTTCTTCTCTATTATTCTCTCATTGCAAGTTATTTCATACATCCTGTGGTTTAAGTTATTTTCCATTTGTCAATGACTCCAACATAGATGACTCATTATGATTAGCCAATATCTCCATTTGGATTGTTAAAAATAATATTTAACTGAAACACTAAAACAAATCATAATTCAGCCAAGAAACTGATCTTATTCTGGTGTTCTCTGTGGCAATAAATGACCTAAACATCCACTCAGCTAGCTACTCAAACCAGAAACCAGAGATTCATCTTTGAATCCTCCTTTACTTTTATTCTTCTATATCCAATAAATCATCAGTCTCTGTAGGGTATACCACATAAATATATCAGAAATCTATCTTCCTCTTTGTCTACCACTGCCACAATCCTAGGTTAATGCTTTCATCTTACATAAAACACTGCATTTTTTCTAAGATTGTGTCTACATTTTCTGCAATCCATTATTGTTCCCTATGTAGTAATCCATTTTTTTCACACCATAATGTTATATTTAAGACACAAACCAAATAAAATATCTCCCCTGGTTATAGCTTTTCAGTGATTTCCTACTATCTCAGGATGACACTTGTAATTCTTCAAGTGACTTGGAAGTTCCTTGATGACTTGATGATGCATACTTCCTAGGCTCACCTTATGCTACTCAGTGTAATTCTCTGCTCTTTACTATTATGGCCTTCTATTGGCTCTTCATTTTCCCAAAATCTTATCCTGGACACTCACCTTACTTCTTTTAAGAAACTTCTGAATGTTCAGACTGGATTAAACTACTCTACAATTTCTACACTTTGCATTTTCCATTTATTCTAATAATCATACTTTTAGTTATATATGCAGCTTTTCATTTTTCCATTAGATCATCAGGCCATATTGTTTTTTCTTACTTGCAATGCAGTACCTAGTACTTTGATTCATTCAGAGTAGATGCTCATTTCTATTTGTTGAAAAACATGATTTAAAAATTTTTTAAACTATAAATGATGGCAAGAAACTGATAAAAAATAATAAAAATATTCACTTTATTCATTACCTTGCTAATTATGCATGTGTGTATAATCGGAAAAGACAAAATTTGAAGGATAATTATGATAATGACTATCAAATATAATTATGTATCAATACCATTTTTTTGCAGTAGGATTTGATTTTTATTACATCAGCATTAAATATTTTTGAAAATTCATGATCACCTAAGGAATAAATTAATTAGATTTATTATACTTTGCATATTTAGTCAAGAAATTGAACTAATAAATTGGAAAAGACTTTCAAGAGATATATTAAAATTTGTATAGAATGAAGTGTTAATCAGAAAATGAATAGTAAAATATTATTTCAAACTATTATAATAATTAATGAGTCACATAGATGTAATATTATCTGGTCAAAAATCTCTTTTACAAGAATTGCCATTTTTAAAAATTTTTATGTTTCTAGGAAAAGCTATGCTTGTTTTATTAAAGCAAATTATATTTCAGCTGTCGGTTATGGAACTCAGAATTTGTCAGCCAGTATGACTTTAACTATGATAACCAAACCTAATATTCTGTTCCAGTCCTTCTTAGCCTGTCCTGCTTCTTTTTTACGCCTATTGTGGTAATGTAGCCATATTAAAAGGACTTTTATAATTTTGTGTTTCTAAAACCTTAATTTTTGAGATTTTTAAATTTTTAAAAAATTGTATAGAGCTACAAAGAATTTTTTTTTTTTTTGAGTTGGAGTCTCACTGTCATCTGGACTGGAGTGCAGTGGCACTGGCACACTCCTGGCCACAGCAGCCTCAACCTGCTGGGCTCCAGCTATCCTTCCGCCTCAGCCTTCCAAGTAGCTGGAA